TTTGTCCTGGTCGTGGAACACTGGACCAGCTCTACACCCTCAGCAGGGTCCTGGAGGGTGCGTGGGAGTTTGCCCAACCAGTCTACATGTGCTTTGTGGACTTGGAGAAGGCGTTCGACCGTGTCCCTCGGGGAACCCTGTGGGGGGTACTCTGGGAGTATGGGGTACCGGGCCCTTTGATACAGGCTGTTAGGTCCCTGTATGTCCGGTGTCAGAGCCTGTTCCGCATTGTCAGCAGTGTCGGGCTCGTTCCCGGTGAGAGTTGGACTCCGCCAAGGTTGCCCTTTGTCACGATTCTGTTCATAACTTTTATGGACAGAATTTCTAGGCGCAGCCAAGGTGTTGAGGGGATCTGTTCTGGTGACCTTAGGATTGCGTCTCTGCTTTTTGGTAAATGGTAAATGGACTGTACTTATATAGCACCTTTCTATCTTATTTAAAGAACTCAAAGCGCTTTACACTACAATCTATGTCCTCATTTACCCATTCATACAACACTACTAGATCTCTACAAAGCTAACTGAACAAATCATTCTAAAGAGACTAATCAGAACTTTAGATCACATTCATTCACCGATGGGACACACATCAGAGACTATGAAGGGTTCAGTGTCTTGCCCAGGGACACTTCAACATGTGACTGCTGGTGGAATCGAACCCCCGACTCTTGCATTGGAGGACGACTGCTCTAACCACTCAGCCACATCTGCCCCATTTTTGCAGATGATGTGGATGGATGGATGGAGAAGGACGTTTTGTTGGCACCAAGGAGGTTCTGGCAAACCATTTGACACCTTGGAAAAAGAAAGCAGGCCTTGACCCAGGTTGTGATTGGTTTAGGAGGGGAACTGCTGACCTGGAAAGGGAACATTGTTGGACAGCAGAAGAAAACTTTGAATGGTGAATGGACTGTACTTATATAGCGTCTTTCTATCTAATCAAGATACTCAAATCATTGTACAACACAATCTGTTTCTCATTACCTCCACACACACATCCATACAGCACACTACATCCCTACAAAGCTAACTGAACAAATGATTCTAAGGAGACTGATCAGAGCTTTAGACCACATTCATACACTGATGGGACACACATCACAGGCAATGAGAGGTTCAGTATATTGCCCAAGGACACTTCAGCATGTGACTGCTGGTGGAATCAAACCCCCAACTCTCCCATTGGAGGTCAACTGCTCTAACCACTCAGCCACAGCTGCCCCAAAACAGATGAAGATGATGAAGATCTTCTTAATCCATCCACCATGTCCACCATGTCCACCATGTGAGAAGGTATAGTCTGAAGACTTGGGGAAAGGTCGAGTCCAGTACCACGGCAGGGCAGCAGGAGTGGATGGATTCATCCTGATCTGCTGAAGGCTCTGGTCTTGGGGGGGGGTGTCATGGTTGACATATCTCTTTAGTGTCACATGAAGGACAGGGACAACACCTGTAGAGTGGAGTGGCAGATCTGAGTGGACATCGCCACTGTAGGGTTTCCAGCTTTTCCTGCAGGTTCCTGTGTCCAGAGGTGGAGTCAACTACCCACAGCTGAGAGTCATCCCAGTATTGAGAGCCAGGACTATAAGAGGCTGCAGAAGAGCTTCCTTCTCCACTGGAGCATTACTTACCTTTTGGTATTTCTGCTTTCAGCCTCCTTGTGTTAATCCTGAGGAAGTTAATCTTACCTTGTTGTTCTCCTCACCTTTGCACAGAACCTGGTTCCTGAGCCTCCTGTCCTGGATCTCCATGGCTGTCCTCGGATCCTCAACCCCTGTGCCTACCTGTGAGTTACTACCCTTCCTTGTGAATCTTCTGCAACTGCTCCAATGCCTTCCAACCACCTGCCTCCATGCTCCGCCTGTGCTCCTTCCACTGGGACCTTCTCTGTCCTGGAACCAGCCTTCCTCTCTGTGGCCCACCTACCAACGTCCTGTAAGATATCTACAACCTGCTTTAGCTAACTGCTCCATGCAGCTTCGGACGTCTCTTCTTCCCGTCCAGGGTTTCCAGGACGTTCCCACTGTGTACAGTACATTTCATTATTTCACTGTAAATAAATCACTTTATACTCTAAAGGGTTTAGAGTCTGTTGTCCTCAGTCCGCTCACTCTGGGTCAACTGCACCAGTATGACAGCCACAGTTTAAAAGGGGACCAGAGAGTGTGTCCCAGCGATCAACACTTCTGAGCCGCTCCTGTCAAAACCTCAGCTTTTTGTCAGCTTAGATTATTACAAAATGAAGTCCTAACTTCATATTATATTTATATAAAGAAGAAAACTGATAGCTGTTGGGACTTCAGGCAGTGTCTCTATTGGCACCATTCCACATTGCTTCATAAATTCAAGAGTTTTATTTAGTTATTTAAGAAAAAACGCAGCATAACAGTATCTGCATTGTGTTTTCTGCTTTCGTTGTTGTTTAAAACTTCATCCAACATAAAACATGTTTCCATTTGAGTCCGATTATTCTCTGGAATAGTGCGAACTCCCTTCTGCTTTGTTTGTGGCACTTTGAAGGCCCATAAGCCTCTAATGATAGGAGCCTAATCCGTTTTGGGTTGGCTACATTGTGGACGGGATGTGCATCAGTGAACAGCACAAAGGAGCTGCGCGTAGCATCCTGTCTGACGATAAGAGCCAGAGCCCCAGACTGGCACCGACGAGGTCCCACTACCAAGAGACACAACTAATGAGCTCAACGAGGTGAAACAGATATTTATAAATTAATAGATGGAGAAAAAAGTTGATCCCAGATGATAAAAAGCTTCAACAAACAAAGGCACCCATGTTTTCTGCACTGAGAGAAAGCTGTGCCATGATCAGCAGTGAAATGATGACAGATTATTTCTGTTTGAGCTGCCTGTGCTTGGCTGCATCCTTCAGATTAAAATCCAAGTGAGCAGCTGTAGATATCACCAGGCTGAGATAAAATGGAAGAGCTACACCTCGTATGGAAGGACTTTATAAGAAATTCTTCAGAATTCATTTGAACTTCTTCCTAAATCTGTAAGAGATCTGTAAATAAAAGTGGCTGCTTTTAGCTGGAAACTTTATTTTAGAGCAGAGTGATCATAAATACTTTATTCCCTGCAGAGTTGAACAGTAATTTCATGCTCCACAGTTTGTATCTGCAGACTGTATGCTGCCATCTTTGTGTGCATTAATGAGTAAACATGGAGTCAATGCAAACAATTCGTCCATGCCTGACATGAGTAAACACACAGTGGGCAGGAGAAGCGGTGATTCGTCAGAGGCAGCCTGTTCAAGCATGCCTCAGGATTTAAACCGAGCTTCGATGAGTGGAAACGACGAGCTGCTCTGCAGGTTTGTCAGATTCATGAGCACAACTCTTTCTCAAAACCAACACACAAGCATGAAAGAACATCTCAAAACCTTCACCTGCATGCACACAGTCTACCAATGGCTTCATTTAGCTGAAAATATATTCTAGCTTATGTCTTAAGATAAAGGATTTTGCTGCATTTTGCATATTTTATCTACACTGAATGAAGCATTACTGCCAAGATATCACATTATTCCTGATCAAGTTGCACGTTTTGATGTATTTTTTGGTATTAGTTTAGTTTTTCTAAGGCTGTAATAGACAAAAAAAATTAAGATGAAAAGGAAAAAAAACAACTGTAATGCAATATCTGAATGTTGTTCTTAATAACTGGTTCATCGCCAGGATGTAAGGAATGACATAATAAACTGTCAGTATTTGTTTAACACAAACTGCAGCACAAAAACTAAACTGGGGCTGTTTACCTGAGGGTGGAGTTACTTTTTAATCACGACCATAAATCCTGCTGCTGCGTTACAGGAACTCAGAGGGAACAACCTTCTCCTCATTGTTTCTCTTCTGTTGCATGCTTTTTGGAAAGGACTAAACCGAATTAAAGGCCACTTCCAGGAATCTGCACAGATCAGCCAAAACATTATGAGCAGCTGTCTAATGTTAAGCAGGACTCCACCTGTCAGCTCTGAGCGCTCGGGGGGTGGACAGGGATCTTGGGGGTCCCAGGATGTGGGGTCTCCCCTCACACTGTGTGGAAGACATGGAAGCTGCGTTACATTTCTAGAAACAGTGCTTTTCAGGTGAATGTTGGGTTGCAGGTCTTCCTGGAAAAAAATGAACAGATTTAATTACTTCTATGGCCACAGTGTGATGTTTGTGTGGTGACTCAGTCAACGTTAAGCCTCGCCTCCTGAAGCAGTGTCAAGTTTGTAAAAAACATATACATATATTACAGGCCCAGTCTTTTTAAAGGGATTAGTATCACCCAGTGCTACACCAACAGAACTGGTTTTTTCCACTTTGGAGTAAGCTGTTCGGAGAGAATCAGTTTTGTTTGGTGTTTCTTTGACTGATGAAGCCTTCTGGATGGAAGACGAAACATCTCAGCACAAAAAATGAAATGGTCCAGATGACCTGACTGAAAAATGTTGGATTTAAACCTGGTTTATTGAGCATGGACTTTGGTATCACCCAGTGCTGGTTTTAATCTAACATCACTACGTTAAAGAGGCGGAGTAATTGCTGTTTTGGTGGAACTTTCTAAATATCAAGCACAAGTTCACGTCATAAGACCTGTTAGAGCTCAAAGTATGTGCTGAGGGTGGCTCGCACCAAACTAGCTCAATATTTGTACATTTGACAGGGTTAGAGCTGTTTTTGTGTTGACTAAGGTGCATTAGCAGTGGCAGCCATCTTGAATAAGATTGACTTCAAACAATAATCAGTTGTAGATGAAGAGCCAGTGATGAATTGCTGAAAGTTTCATTAAAATCTGTTCAGTGCTTCATGAGATATTTTACTGTCACACCCAAACAGACGTGGGAACAACACCATCCACCTTTGCTGCACCTCCTTTTCAGAGCCTCTTCCTGAGCTGACAGATTCCTCTTTCTGCTCCAGCTAACCAATTTGAGCCTCCTCCTCTTCCTCCTCCTCCCCTTTTGCTGTATATTAAAGCACAAAGACGCCCTGCACACTCCCACATCTGCAACCTCAAGCAGCTCTCCTCCGTCGTCCCTCTCTGCTTTGTGCTTCACTCTGAAAACTGTAAGTTTACTCTGTTTGTCTTGTTTCCAGTCAGAGCTCAGCAGAAGTGTAGGAGAACTCCAGAACATGTTGGTGCAAAACCAGCCCAGACTAGTCACTGATTCTCTGCTGCTCTTTGTGCTGCACATCGGCACTTCAGGATTTAAAGTTTAAAAGCTTTTCCAGATGTGAAAATGTGTCGTCTCCTTATGCTCAGGAGCAAAAAGAAGGCTAAAAGCTTTTGTTCAAAATGGGAACATGAATGATCAGCATGTCTTTATTGGTATTATCTCCACAGAGAATAAAATAGAGCAGAAATATATATTGAAAAAAGGACAGGAAGTACTTTGAATGTTATGCAAATCTAAAAATAAAAATAGCTAAATCTGTGATTTGTTCCTGTTGTCTGCTCGAAAAGACATTTTTCTGAATAAATACAGCATGTAGTTCAATGCATGAGCTGCAGATTTAGATTAAATTAGGATGCTCTTTCATCTGACATGCCTTTTACTTCTGCACAGTACGTCTGCACAGATAAAGGCCATAAATGTGTTATCAGAATATGTGAAGACAACTGCAGGTCTTATCGATCAGCTTGTTACAGGAAGACCACTTCCCTCTCTGAAACCTGAGCAGCAGCTCGTCACGCACACAGCTGAGCAAATGACTATTAATCCTCCCTAAAGTGGTGTGTGTGTGTGTGTGTGTGTTTGGTGTGGCTGACAAGTTTGTCTCGTAAACACGATGTCATCTCATAATGAGGGTAAAAAAATCTAACTTGGTTGTTAAAGGTGTGTAGGTCAAACACACACACACACACACACACACACACACACACACCTCACTGCATCAGTAATTCTGTTTGATCTACAAACACACACTACCTGTTAAAGGTTTTGAACTTGGAGATGCTAAAAATATCAGTTATAACGTTGTTTGCAGATGATACTGTGAGCTATAGTGAAAGTAGGGAGCAGGTGGAAGAGAGCCTGGAGAGGGTTTTTTTGGGGGGGCCTGGAGAAAAGGAAAATCAGTAGAAGCAAGAGAGAATCCATGAGTCCATGAGAGAGAGAGAGAGACAGAAGGAACAGTGAAGGAGCCGAGGGATTGAAGGTGGATGAGTTTAGGCATTAACCTTCTGAAGAAAAAGAACAAAGAGGAAGCTCCTGGATGTATGAAAGAGGATCTGATGTGACTGAGGAGGATGCTGGAATAGATGGAGGCAGATGGGCTGCAATGGTGACCTCTAAAGGATGCAACAGAAAGGAGATAAAATCAATGTAATGCACAGTACCATGTCACATGTTGCTCATGTGTCTATTGGCGTTTTCTAAAGAAATGCTAATGAGGTAATTAGATATTTTCTGATAACAGCACATACCCAAATAAAGAAGACGCCTCCATTTAACCCCATTTATCAGATGTGAACCTTCATTTCCCTTCACAAACACATTTAAACACCAAAGAATCTGTGGTGATTTGGGACCAAGCAGAAGTACGTGACGTGTTCTGCTACAGACCATCTGTTCACCAGTCGTTTGCTTATATGTTCTAGCAGATGGGCGACCTCTAAATGTTCAAAACCCACTTATGATGTCCCTTAAAATAAAATGTGTGAGTGGTTTCACATGGGAGTAAATATTCTTATGTGTTTCCTTCAAAAAGCCACAATGTCTAAAGAAAGCAGGCAGCGTGGGCAGACGTCATCAAGCCCTGCATCTCTGTGACACGCTGCGTTTTGTTTTTTATATAAACTGTTAAGTTACTTCCAGGAAACATGTTGTCTTTTGAGTTTTGGCAATAAAGCAGCTTGATTAGGGTTACAAACAATCATTAGTAGGTCTTAAACACTTTTTATCCTTCACCTCTTTATGCACGTAGAGTTTTGGTTAACGAGTCTTTTCACTGGAAACTTTTTGCAATTCAAAAGACATTTAAAGTCACGTGTTGCTCTCTCTGGCCTCCTGCATCTCTGTATTTATTTGTGTTTCCTTCAGAGCCATCATGGTTTGTCACAAGGAGTTTCAGGATGCAGGGAAGCAGCCGGGGCTGCAGGTGTGGCGTATTGAGAGTTTGGACCTGAAACCCATTCCCAAAACACTGCATGGCAGTTTTTACAGCGGGGACGCCTACGTGCTGCTCTTCACCACCGCAGCACCCTCCTATAACATACACATGTGGCTGGGTAAGTACATGCATGCATGGCTTCAAGGAGTGTTTGCCTTTTAATGACTTTAAATATTAAAAAGGTTTGTAAGCTCAATCATCCAGGTAAACAACAACAAAGGTTAAATCATGTCATCTGGACCAGTTCCTTTAAAGGAGAAACATTTCGTCTTTCATCCAGAAGACTTTGTCAGTGTGTGGCCTGCCATCCAGATGTGCCCCATAGGTAGCAATCATTGCTGTGATTCAACAACCTCCTGTTGAATTCCCAGAAAACAGGCTTACAATCCTTTTTCTGAACCATGTTGACCTGGGTGTCCTCAGGCTGTTTTTGTGAGTAGCAAGTTGGCCAGCTGGCTTAAAACATATGATTGTTGTGCACGATGATTGTGCACGATGATTGTTGTGCACGATGATTGTGCATGATGATTGTTGTGCAC